ATTTTGTCTTTTATCTTCACTTTTTTATTCAGTGACCCCTGTTAAGGCATTTTAAAATGTTGGCTTCCCAAAATTTACCATATCATAAAGAGAAGCCAATTAAATATACTATAGCTTTGCTTAGTACAAGTGAAAAATAACTTGAACCAAATTCTCACCTAGCTGGTTTTATCTGGCCCATTTTGCGAACATTAACATTACAGAATGTGACTCTTGGGAATTGTCCCGATTGTTCCCAATCCTTTCCGGAAATGATATCCTTCAACATTTCCATGCCAAACATGGTGCTGTTGGTTCCAATGAATTGACGCATAAGATAAATTTGTCCGATTGAATTACCGACAAACAGCAATCTTACGGCAAAAAAGAGCATTGTTATGCGTAGGTTTGGTCGGATACTGCAGAGGCGTTGGACTATATTGCGCATCCGTCTATAGCGAGCAGTTGATTCAGCCTGTTCCTCCAGAGTGGCTACCAAACAAGAAATAGCTTTCTGACGCAATTCTCGATCTGGTACTGCTGCTTCACGGGCGGAACGAAGCAGTACGGGTAGACGCTTTGATCCTACTCGCCATAGCAGGTATGGCACCCAAGATAACATAGCCTGTCCTGCTAAGACTATGGCGATCCACTGGTAGTAGCTTATATATCGTACCTGGGATAGTTCAATGTCATCGTCGGGTACCTCATCGGAGGCGGCTAGAAAATATGTGTTCTTCACCCAGCACAAGTTCTCGGCGTATTCCTCCCAAGAATGAGTAAACTCCTGTGGCACCCAACATTGAATTGGCTTACCTGGTGAAAAAAATAAAAATAAAAATGTAAAATAAACTTTGATATATGGACAATAGTCTCGCAAATAATTAAAAAATGTTCAAGCCTGCAAGCAAAAGTGTATAAAAATTGCTGTAATTATGTAGTTCAATATATTATAGGAAATGATTCCGAAAAATTTAAGAATCCAAAATACTCAAGTGCATAAGCATGCTCTAGCATCATAAGTACTGAAAACTTAATAACTAACATATCTGTTATTAAACAAAATCAAAGAGACGATTTAATATGAAGATACTTTTGTCTAAAAAGCGATAATTGCTATCTTTTATCAGAGATAGCTTAGAATACCTAAGTGATCACTTTAAATGCTATACTATTGTCCTTAAATTTCTTCTTAATAATCTTAAATTCCATAATTTGCAATGTTTTTAATTTATAATACATCTAGCCTCTTAGCCAATTAATCCTTTATTTTAAAATGTCGATTTATGAATTATATATATATAATCATCAATATTTTATCATCAGAAGCAGTAAATCAATAGGTCCATGAACATAAATTAATATAAATGCCTAAAAGCTAAATAAATTACAACTTAAACATACCTTCTTGCATGCTTATAAAAACATTTTACATACAAATTTTTGACAAAAATAGAATTATAGAAATGTTCATTTGGATATTTTACTTGAATTATCGAAATTTTACTCAATAATTAGCATAAAGTGCATGAATTCATTATCCTCAA